GTTGAGGTTAGCTGGAGAGAAGAGCACCTTCTACCTTTTGAAAAAGCCACCAACTTAAAGCCCAGTTCTGAGATCACAGTTTTTCTGTCTTTCCAGAGAGCGCATACGTCTACAGAAGAAATTCCAGAAGCAATTTGGAGTGAGGCAAAAATGGGACCAAAAATCACAGGTAACGTATCTATACCAGAATTGTCCGGGAATTCCATTTGTTTTGTTTGTTTACGAGCCTTATTGAGATAATAATTCACATACCATGCAGTTTGCCCATTTAAAGTATACACTCCAGTGGTTTTTACTATATTCAGAGTTGTACAACCATTACCAGTATCAATTTCAAAACATTTTCATCCCCCCAGAAAGAAACCCCATAACCTTTAGCAGCCATCCTGCATCCTTCCCACCACCGCTCTCAGCCCTAGGCAATCACTAGTCTGCGTTTTGTCACTATGGGTTTGCTTTTTCTGACCATTTCTTACAAATGGAATCATGCAACATGTGGTCTTTGACACACTTCATTCATTTAACAAAATGTTTTCAAGGTTCATCCGTGTTGTTGCACATATCGGTATTCATTTCTGTTTGTGGCTGAATACTCTATTGTATGGATATATCATATTTTATTTATCCATTCATTGGTTGATGAACATTTGGGTTGTTTCCACTTTGGGGCTATTATGGATAATGCTGCTGTAAATATCTGAGTACAAGTTTTTGTTTATACATATATTTTCATTTGTGTTGGGTAGCTACCTAGGAAGGGAATTCCACTTACTTTTGAACTCTCAATCCCTTCAGTCGTCTTCTGGATTGTAACTCCTAACTGTCAAGGGCTCCTACTTCTGAAATGGCCAGCATGTAGTAAATGTTCAGTGTATGTTTACTGAAGCCTTTCTTCATACTGTCCGTCTATCTTTCACTTCTCTTTTTTTGCACTGGCTGTAGTTTTTTGTTTTGTTTTGTTTGCTCTTTTGCACTGGCTGTAATGTTTTCCCTCCGATGGTTTTCCACTACAGAAGCCCCGAGATTCTTCAGTCGAAGTGCGCAGTGACTGGGAGGTAAAAGAGGAAATGGACTTTCCTCAGTTAATGAAGATGCGCTACTTGGAAGTTTCAGAGCCACAGGA